AACAATAGCTCTGATACCAATCTGTCACACCTCGGAACCAAAGGCGGAAACGTTCCGGGGCGGAGGACGTCATTCATAGTATCACAACAATTGTATCATAGCAATCAAAGTAAATACAACCATTACATTGCATTATGAATATTTACATCTGTTTGGAAACATAATTTGTACATATCATTATATTCAAAAGAAACAAAAGATAAAGACTGGACTTCAAGATGATCCGTCTTTTCCAAGAGTAAGCGAGGGTACCTGTCTATCGATGCCCTGAGAATACAAGCGGTTTTGAAAACGGGTCAGCATAAAGCTGGTGGGTTCATAAGCATGTTTTTGAATTGGAAACTAGTCACTGAATTTGTAAAATTTATTCCTTTTTACTATAAGTAAATAGCGTTTTGGTATCGAAAACCTTTGTTATTGAGTTTAGAAATAGATATGCATGCTTCCCAAGAAAATCCCATATTTTCTAACATGATCGCTGAATACTAAATAAGAGTAATTTTCATTCGAAAACTTTGGTTTCCACCAGTAGATAAGTAGTTTTATTATTCAAATAAAACCAAGAATTAGATCGTTGGACTCCCCTCCAGTAAGTAGATATATAGTTTTAATAATTGAATAAAATTATTGAAGAATATATCGCGTAAACAAAGATTAGTTTTACATATTGTGAGTCGGATAACCATGCTAATTTGACCCGAGACCTTCTTGACTTTTCTTCAGACGTCATACGATTACAAAATTTGTCACCATGGGCGTGCCCGCCCCACTGTAGCTAACAGTGCAGGTGTGGGATTGTCAGTCCCGAATAGATCTATTCACAAATTTCACGCTCTCCCTCCATGAGACTCTGGTTATACTTCCGGAAAGGATTTATTGGTACCCCGAAGGGCAAAACGAAGATTAATCTCACAATCCTGTATTAACTAGTTTACGTGTAGTTCAGTTGTTTCTCGAATTCGAAATCGTTGATAAACAATGTGGAGTATAATAATTGTACAAAATAATTATCTAGTAAGATACTCTCGTTATTCGTATGGATAAACTAAATCAGTCATAGTTTATATATTTGACTTGCATGGAGTTTGATTCTGAAAACCGGAAATGAAATTCTCCAAACTATACCTATTATAGTTTGATTGATAAGTTATGTTCATGTACTATTCGGAAAACTATGCAATTATGTTTAGAAAACATCCCTTATGCTCAGCATTTTACAAAAGGGATAAAGTATCTAAATGTTTTAACATAAAACCATTGTAATTGCATCAGTTTTTAAGTTGTGAAAACCTTTATATTTGGCTTGTATTCCCCCCTGAAAACGTTATAAAAACTTATAAAAGCGTAGGGGTATGAACTCACAGTTTGACGTAGGATTCGATTGTACGATCGGTTTCGAGCACTAAGTGTCAACTGATGTTTTGTACACAAGTGAATCCTATTAACATATAATGATGCATATACGTATTAGATTAAGGCATTTCATGATAAAACACGATGGGAATCACCCTAAGGACTTGGAAATGCTTGGAACTAAGTGTCGGAGCCATAAATAATCGAATAAAGGAAGTGTATGGCCATCAGTGTGTGTGTGCGGCCAGACTATGTGTGCGGTTGCACACAAGAGTGTGCGGCCGTACAGAGGGTGTGTGCGGCCGTACACAGGAGTGTGCGACCGTACACTCCTCATTTGTGCCCGAAATGTCGATTTTGAGGTGTTTTAGTGCTAATTCCAAGTCTAACTAGCAAATGGGGGCCAAACTCTTCACTTTGGAGAGTCTTGAAGGTGTGTGCGGCCACCTTATGAAGGTGTGCGGCCGTACACCTTCAAAGGATGAAGAACACGAAGAACATTATGAGTTTTAGGCTTAGATTCAAGTGTCTTACCAATATAACAAGCTGAATGATGAAGTAGATCACGTTTTTGAGGCTTTTAGAGTGTTCTTGGGTGAAGTTTCTAGAGAGAGAAAGTAGTGAGAGAAAACTAAAGGAAGGAAATGAGGGATGAAGTCACCTTATATATATATATATAAGGGTGAGTGTGCGGCTGGAGGATGGGTGTGCGGCCGCACACACATGTGTACGGCCGTACACTCCTCCTGAGAGGGTGTATGGCCCGAAAGTTGTACTATGACTTGGTATTACTCGACCTAGAACTCAACCCTTGATTATACGAGGCTTAGAAAGTATCATTACACCCTTAAATAATGATAAATGATGATAAAATCGAGTTTAATATTGATAACATTAACTTATCTTATAAGCTAGAAGTTTCGGGTTGTCACACGAACCGGGAACCGGCTTCGGCCAAAATCAAGAACCGAACCGGCCCGGCGGTTCTACCGGTTCCGGTTCTACCGGGTTCGGTTTTGGGTCCGGTTTTTTCCGGTTTTTCGATTTCGGAACCGGTCTTCGAGAAATAGCAACGTATTTTGGGGTTATGGTTTCGGTTTATGCCCGGTTATTGAATGTGATTATAAGCACGAAGATCAATAACATGAATGCAAAATTGTTATGTTTTTTATATACATATACATAAAGAATAACGGCTTGTCTGCATATTTTAACTTTAGTTATTATAAGGCTGAATTGCTTCTATCAAGAACATGGCCCATGCACTATTATAATATTGAAATAACATACATGAAAGTTGACATTCATGTTTGGCTTAACAATTGGTTTTTATGATTCCATAAGACCAGTTCCTTTCCCACACCATTACTCCATACAAATATTTGGTGTATTTAGGATATGATATTTATAAGCAGCGCATTATATGCGTTCGAATGTATTGGTTACTTTTAATTTTCTTGATTGTAAATGATCTAAACGATCGTTTTTTTTACGTCCAAAGTAGAAGTCCAAGCGACAAAGGCATGGGGTTTTTTGTAAAGATTATCCGGTCCGGTTCCCGGTTTTGGGCCGGTTCCAATGACCGGTTCTTACCGGGTCCCGGTTCCAAAAATTCACAAAATTATAGTATCGGTCCCGGCCCGACCGGTTCCATCGGGTCCCGGTTCCGGTTCCGGCCGGTTCCCCGGTCCGTTCGCTCATCCCTACGAGGTACTATGACATGCTAAAGGATGAGATTGAAGAGTTTATGAGCTTTTCGGGGTGCAAGACCTTGAATGATATGATTATGAGGTCCCGGGAACGGGAGATTGAGTTGAAGCTTTGGACAAAGCGCAAGCCGGAGCTGGTACAGACAGTTTATGGGCCAGGAAAAGAGGCCTAAGATTTCTGATTCTCACACTAGGGGCAGCAGGGTCGGAGCCGTTGCGACAAGTGCGGCAAGCCGCACGGTGGAGCATGTCGATCAATGGGTTTGGGTTGTTTCAGATGTGGACAGACTAGTCATATGAGTATAGACTGCCCCCTGGGATGTACTGATTTGCTTTCATTGCAATTAGATTGGCCATAAAAAGGTCGATTGTCCAAGGCTGACAGGAGGAGCAATGGAGGCGCCAACACCATCCACTTTGAGGATCACCGATGGCCGCCAGGGCAAGGCGAAGGCACCTGTGGTGAAGAGTCGGGCATTCCAGCTGATAGCGGATGAGGCGCGTTCAACACCTGATGTGGTCACTGGTATGTTTCCCTTCTTTATTCTATTTTGTTGTCCTTATTTATGCTTATGCTTTATCTGATTATGTATAGGGACCTTCTTGGTCAATGGTATGACTGCTCATGTCCTGTTCGATTCGGGTGCAAAATCAACCTAGAACCATGAACTAAATTTTCCAGATCTTCAAAACAAAAACACTAAAAACTTAATTTTCCACATTTGAAAACCCTCATCCTTCTCATGCCCAATTCTAGAAGACGACAACGGTGGTTTCAAACGGTCGCCTCCTTTCTCAGATCTACGTCGCCACATCGGAGCAGATGAAGACGTCGCCACCTCAGCACGGAGCAAGGGTTTGCACATATTTATATATATCTGTTGTTTGACTCTCTTTTTCCTTCTTCGGCAATGCCGGCACCTCCAAGATCTAGACGAGATCAGACTTAGGGTTTGTAAAGGCGACAGTGACACAGAAATCGAAGCTAGGGTTTGTAAAGGCAGCATCGGCGGTGACTTCGTCTCTTACGTTTTGCTTCTCCCTTTCACAAACAGAGTCGCTAGAGTTTGTAAAAGACGAAGAACAAATCTAGAAAGACGACAACAAAGACGGGTTGTTTTTAACGTCGTCGTTATCTTCGTCTTCATTAGGTTGAGGGTTCCGACGACGCCTGGAGCTCCATAGACTGAGGATTTCCTACAAAGGTGGCGGTTTTCGTCATGTGGAGCTGTTCACCTGAGCCTTTTGTAGAGTTGTTTGTGTGTGTGTGAGAGAGAGATGTGGGGGGGGGGAGATGCATGTCTGAAGCGTTCCGACGGCGGTAGCGATTTCCGACGACGGTGGTTTCCAACAGTGGTGGTTTCGGGAATAGGCGGTGATTTCCGATAAAAAAATATAGAGAGTGAGAGTAGGAAGAGGAATGTGGGTTGGGTGGGGTTTATATTTTGGTTTTTGTTTTATTTTAATTAAATAAATAGTAAAATAAATAAAAAAAGGAAAAAATAAATAGAAAATGGCAAACATGTCATTTCAAACACACTCAGTTATGAAATGAACCAAAAACGCAACAAAAACCTTATTTTGGACTACCGATACAACTTCAAAACATTTTGGACAAACGTCTCAATTTTTGACGTACCACGGGAGCCAAATTCACAATTTTGTCAATCCTTTAAAAGTAATTGCAAATGAAATTTCAGAGTTAAAGTTTAAAAAAATAATAATAATAAAATGCGTTTTAGATATAAAAAACAAATAAGTATCTAAATATATCTTCAAAATAGGGACATTTTTTTAGAGTTATAAATTTTATCGTGAATCTCATATAATTGATGGTAAAAAAAAAAATGGTTATTTTGTTAAGAAGCTTCCCCTAAGCTAATTTTGTGATACCCTTTTTTCTAAAAAGTAAAAACAAACTCGCGAATTTAAGAGCCTGACTTTAATCAACACCCCTTCCTTGACGCCAAGATCTGTTTTCTACTCTTTCCGTCTCTTTCAACTTCAAACACTCGTTTTCTCTCCCTTGAATGATACACAAACTAATGAAAGTCTAGAAAACTGCTTGATATTTTTCCTTTAAGGTGAGCGCTCGAATAAGATTAACTAATTGCAATACATACAGACATGGATGATTACACGAAGGACGATGTTTCACAGCTGATCAAGAGAATTGGGGCTTTTCTATCCGCCAGAATGTCCGAAATATTAGACACCCAGGTGCTAATTTCATTTTCATTTTTGCAAGTTTCTTGTTATTTGAGTTTCCCATTTTCGCAGGCTTGATCTTACTGCCTCTTTGATTTATCGTAATTTGTGGTGAAAATGTGAAATCCGAATTGGGGTTTTCCCTATGGTTCCATGATGATGAGAATTTGAGGTTTGTGAAGATAATCGAAATTGGAAAGGTTGGTTTAGGTTATGCATTTTGATCAAGAGCAACATTAGTAGTAACATATTCTACGCGCCAATTCCCATAAACATGTGATTCCATGGTGTTATGCTCTCAGTACGAATCATGATAAAACAACTGTTGGTATTGCAATCTCAACACCATGTTGACCTTTAGTGATCACTTCTCATTATCATAGTTATCAATTGTAAGCCTCATTTTGGTTAGGGTTAATGCAAGAAGCAGCAACATACTTCAATATATTCGTTTATCATAACATCCTGCTTCTATTTCGTCCTATTACAACTTTGTACTTTGAAAACAAACTACCCAATTATAGCAATGCCATAGAAATACAAAGCAATTTTCATTGTTATAATCGGGTAGCTTTTTTAATGTTCTAACAAGAAAAGAAATTGAAAGTAAAATGCTATATTTGGGTAGATTTTTCTAACCAGAGATTGAGATTTTCCTTGATATGTAGGTTTTCTTGGTATTTCACCAAAGAAACACTAGGATCTCTTACTCTCTTAGACATCATGCATAGGATAACATATGGCATCAACTTTAGGGGATTGGATCACTCAATATTTCACGCATAGATTATGATATTATCAACTTTAGGGGTATTACCTAATATAATCAATGCTACACCAAAATTATACCTCTCCAACTCATGCCATAAAAAGTAATCACATTGGTTAAGTCACACTGTAATACGTTTATGATTTATAAACCTTTAAAAAAGGGTTAAATAAAGCTTTTAGAATGTAATCTCATATATAACATGTTTCAATGTAAATACTGTAATTCCATATAATATACAATGTGTGTAAAGTAAAATCATCATTTTAGCATGCATCCAATTTTGTAAATCAACATGGATTCATCTTTTCTTTAGCTGTTGACCTAATACTTCAAGTGATAATAAACAACATTATACCTCAAGAACCGATTTTTTCTTGGTCAAATAGGAAAAAAAAACTTTTATTGAATTTCTTGGACATGCACCAAAATAACACTTTTTAAGTCTTCTTTCACTAAAAACCTGATGCCTCTCTAATTTAATTGCCCCCTTTTTCGCATTTTTGCAAATGCATGTGATCCAGTTTGTTTATATTCTAACACTTATATTAAAGCTTAAAGTTGATGATATGAATCATTAACAACCACATTAATTGTTCACTAAAATTTTACTAATACTCATGAGGCTGTTAATGAGTTTGGGATCAATAACTTACTCAGTGATCCAAAAACAAAAAACAACATAAATACTGTAAAAATTTTCTTGTATAAAGTTTCAGTTCATATACTATGACTTGGTTAATTTTCACCCATCGTGTGACAAAAATTACTAGTTATGTTTTATTGTATTTTCATAACTGGACAAGTATATAATATTTACTCAATCACAAATATTGCTTTCCAAACATTTTAAGTATTACTATTTCTTACTTTTTCAAAATTGCATGTTTGTTATACAATGTAAAATACATTCCCTTTCAAGCAAGAAATAATTAATGAAAATTTTAACGAGTCATAATAGATGAAACTAAATGTCATATCAACATACACTTATAATATATTTTGCTTCAAACTAGAAGTTACAAAATTTGAAAATCTTTTTGACCATTTTTGGCAATTTCTATTTTCGTACAAGATACTTAAATCTCAGGACTTATTTTGATATGATTATCTTATGATGCATATAACATTAAAACTCTGAAGTTTCAATTCTTACTTCTGGAAAATAAATTATCCAATCTCAAATAATCCTACTTCTTGTATTGTGTGCATGTTTTGTGATCATATCATCTGCACTCTAAACTCTTTTTTAAGCAAAAAAAAAAAAAAAAAAATTAATTGCAGGATTTAAGATCCGTTTGGGCTTTAGTGGCTGTTGTTTGTACTATAATTTTTACATGGAGGCTACTCTTAGCACCTAGTGGGCCCCATGGGAGACAACCTAAACCTCAACCTCATCCTCAACCTCCTTCTCAAGTCAATACTCAACCAAATTCAAATCTCTTGCCTTCATCCACACAAACTGTAGTTGATGACCTTTTTCAACCTGTAAAGGTAATTTTTTTTTTCTATAAAAATCTTGGTTTGAATTCTTTTGGGTTACTTATAAATTATGATTTGTTCTGCTTGTTTTTGCAGCCTACTTTGGGACAAATAGTTAGACAAAGATTAAATGATGGAAGGAAGGTATCACATACATATATATATATATATATATATATATATATATATATATATATATTCATATTGAATAACTTTTGTATTTACTGTAGGGGAAAATTCAGAAAAGCAATTGCACTTTCACCATTTTATTGATATAGCCACTGAACTATTACCTTTTTTATGATTGTTAGTTTGTTACAATAATAGTTTAGTGGTTAAATTGATAAAATGGGAAAGTTTAGTACACGAGTTTTTATTTATATAAATGTAAAATAGTTGTATTGTATTCTCTACTGTTATGTTATCATATAAAATATAAATGTTTGGTTGATTTTGGTGAAGGTAACATGTCGGTTGCTTGGCATTATACTTGAGGAAAGTACTCCAGAGGAGCTTCAGGTTGTGACTGTGATTCATTTTATTATTATTATTATTATTTTTTTTGGGGGGTTAAATGTTTGTTTATGCAAACCATGTTTTATATTCTTTTTTTCCGAATTAAATGCGTATTTATGCAACAATGTTTCACCTTTACACCAATTTTTACAACACAGTGGTTTTCGACACGGACTATGCAACCAATTAATTTATCATATTTTGATATTTAGGTAAAATAATTTTGTATCTTATAAATGCTTTCTATTTGGAAAAAAAAATTATTATTAACAATTCTATAGACAATTTTTTTGACTCGTATACCTAATAAGTTGATTTTGTTTATTATCTCATTTTCAATGGTCAATAGTCAATACTAATAAAATTAAAAATGGGCTCATGCAACAACTTTTCACACTTTTACTAATTAATGCAACAAAGTATTTACTTTCTAGACATGATTAAGCAACCATGTTTCGGTTTTGCATATTTTGGTCCTAGAGTGAAGCATGGTTGCATATTTTGTCTAAAAAACGAGTTTGTTTCATTGTTTGCATAAACAAAAATGAAAAACCTAATCCTTATTATTTTTTTCATACATATTTCAATCATGTGATTTATGCTTTCATTGTATTTGTATATTATTGTAGAATCAAGCAACTGTGAGATCTTCGGTTTTGGAAGTTGTATTGGAGATGACAAAGTTTTGTGACCTTTATCTCATGGAAACCGTTTTAGATGATGAAACCGAAGTAATGATCATCTATCTTACCCACTTTTTCTTTTTCTTTTTCTTTTGACTTTGACTTTGACGGAGATTGATCTTAATGGGGCACAATTACAATTTTTTGTCCCACCCAAAAAGGTGGGACATGGACTCACTTTCGATCTCTCTGTTGTGAAAATGACGTAAACGCCCTTACCATCGTCAACATTGATTATAATTTTCTCAATCTCTCATTTGTGCAAAAGACGTCAATGCCCTCCTCATCCTCAACATTGAAAATAACCCTAGAAAACTTGTATTGGGAGGAAAATATTTGAGAAAATGGCGTCATATTTTGGGGAAATGGAAGATTAAAATAAATGAGGACAAATTTTGTAAAAAAAAAAAAAAGTTAGGACTTAATGGGAAAGCCTTGTTTCCATGACTTTCTCTGTTAAGTCGTTCTTTCTACATTAAGTAATAAAGGAAAAGAAACAACACTTAAGTCTATTATTATCTATTTTTTCATAAAGTAATTGTGTTTGCAGAAAAGGGTTTTAACTGCATTGGAAAATGCGGGCATTTTTACATCCGGTGGCTTGATTAAAGACAAGGTAAATTGTTAAATACTATTTAATGAATTATAATATAAATATAATATAATATGAAATTGCAGGTTCTCTTTTGTAGCAAAGAAGTTGGGCGGACTTCTTTCGTTAGACAATTGGAGCCCGATTGGCATATAGACTCAAATCGCGAAATTTCTTCTCAATTGGCGGTATATTTATATTTATACATTTTTATTTTTATTTTATAAATTAGTAACATAAATACAAAGCAATTTTCACTGCTATAATTTGGTAGATTTTTCAAACTATATTGTTCTAATAAGAAGCAAATTAAAAGTACAATACAAAATACAATGTTGGTAATGAAATAATTGTGAACACAATGCTATAATTGGATAATTTTTATTTTCTAACATGGTTGATTTTGTTTTTGGTGTTTTCGTTTTATGACAGAGGTTCATCAAATGTCAACTCCACATTTCACCACTTAAAACCGAGCAAATTGCTCCTAATGTTTTCAGTTCTTCATCTTTGGAACAGTTCTTTGGGGTTTGACTTTCTTGAATAAGTCAACGATGCAAATATGTACTTTTTCTTTTCAGTCTCTTATAAGATCCGATGTATACCCCACAGTCGTGATGGATGATTTATGTCAGTAGTTTTGCTTAAATTTCTATAAATTACACTACTTACATTTCTATACCCATAATAGCAACCTACTTGTATTTCCTTTTATTGATAATAGCAATATGTAACAAATAAAATACCTCACCCATATTGATAGCGAAATGCAATTACTTTGTATTAGCGGTGGTATTAAATAATCCAAAACAACTTTTACCTCTATAATAAAGAAAAAATTGAAAATACAATGTTATAATTGGGTAGACTTTTCAAATTACAATGAGTCGATAAGAAAAAATATATTGAAATTAAGTTGTTTTTTTTACATTTAACTCAATTACGATTACAAAGATGCCCTCAATCGACTAAACCTTTCAGCTTCATCGGTTCGACCCGAATTCTTCAAAACCCTAATAATGCTCGAGTAATCTTCTTTGGTTGCTTCAACTTTATATCTCCGAGTCATCAACCGAAAAACCCGTAAAGCCTCATCCACCAATCCACCTCTTTCACAAACACACAAAACCGCTTTAAAAGTAAACCGGTTTGGCAAAAACCCGCGGGTTATCATCTCGTTAAAAACATCAACTGCTTCTTGATAACAAGAAGCAAACCCGTACGCCTCGATGACTGCAGTCCAAGTCATCGAACCCTTCACCGGAACCCCCTCAAAAACCCTAATCGCAGTAGAAATTTCACCGCAGACACCGTAAAACTTCATAATCTCGGAACAAACAAACGGAATCGAATCAAAGTTTTTCTTCAAAACATGTCCGTGTAACTCCTTCCCGAGTTTCACCGCTCGTAGTTCACTGCAAACCCTAAAAATTCTCGAAACCGCCACCGAATCCGGGCGGTGTTTGGATACCGCCATCGATCGGAAAACGTTAATCGCATCATCAAACCGCTTGGATTCCATATACGATTCGATCATAACCGTCCATGAGATCACGTTTCTTCTCTCGAGATGATCGAAAAGTCTAATGGAGTAATTATGAACACCACATTTCGAGTACATCATCATTAATGATGTGGTGATACCGATTTGTTTAATGAAATTATTCTTGATTGCAAAACAATGGATTTCTTTACCCGATTTTAAAGCTTTGAGCTTTTCGCAAACGGGAATGACGGTGTTGATGGTTACTACATCTGGCTTGAACCGTTCTTGTTGCATCCAAACGATTGATTTCAAAGCCATGTCGAACCGGTTGTTTGCAGCGTAACCGGACATGAGTGCGGTCCACGAGATCGTGTTCCGTTCGTTTGAATTGTAGAAAACCGTTCTTCCCGACATCAAATCACCGCATTTGGAGTACATATCGATTAAACCGGATTGGATAGGCAATTGTTTTGAGTACTCTTTTGTCTTGATTATGTATGCGTGTACTTCTTTACCGAGTTTTCGGTATGAAATTTCACCGATTACGGGGAGGATTGTGGTTAAGATAACAGAATTTGGAGGTATTTGTTGTTTTAGCATCAAACGGAAGTGATCTAGGGCTTCGATTTGAAGCCGATTGTGTGCAAAACCCGCGATCATAGCTCCCCATAAGACCACATCGCGGTGATCTTCGCACATTTCTTCGAATAGTTGGCGGGCGAGTTTAATTTTATGACATTTGAAGTACATATCTATCAAACAAGTGGTTACAATCGAATCGTCGATGAATCCGTTCTTGATTAATAATCCATGAGTCTTTAAACCTTGATAAAGGGCCGAAGATCCACCCAAACTTTTGAGCAAACAGGAGAATGTGTAAACATTCAATTCGATGCCCGATTCCCGCATTCTTGAAAATGTTTCGAGGATTTTATGATGGTTCTTACCACCCACAACCACATTGCCCCTGAGCAAAGCGTTCCATGGGTAGACACTTGATGTTGGCATTTCGTCGAACAGGTGGTGAGCATCTTCAACCGACCCACATGAGGTGTACATATTAACAAGCTTAGTTCGTAGAAACTCGTTATTTTCAAGCCCATTGATACGGATATGAGTGTGAATCACTTTCCCGATGGATAACGACTTCACTCGAACAACTGCCGCGATGAGTTCGGAGAACGTAGTTGGGTTTACAGGCACACCACGTTTTTCCAAGTAATCCAATATAGTTAGAGCCTCTTTTAGCTTGTTTTTCTTGGCGAATCTTTGAATATCTTTATAAATGGCAATAGGGTTCTTGGTGTGGATTGGTATCGATGACGGGAATAGATATTTTTCATCGAAATCTCGGTGTTTTTTCCTTGTGGATGTTTGAGATTGAGATTGAGGAGAGACTGTTGAAGATTTGATTTTGAGACTGGGGTGATTCTGGTTGCTTAGAGGGTTCGCCGGGAAATGGTGGAGATGAACGGTTGTAGAAGAAGGTAAGAAGAGGTTACAGAGGCCTTCCATTTCGGTTCATTCAAGCAGACCTATCCCATACATAAACAGATGTTTCTCGTTTTTACTGAATGAACCTCTTAGTTATAGTTAATTACTATTTTACTATAGACTCAATCCGGAATAAAAATGAATTTCTGTTTAGTTATACTTAAATTCTAGAAATCACATTTTTTTTTTAAAAAAAATCATTCGTAATAAATGAAGATAATTTTGCCACTTGTCAATCTCTCATGAGTTTTGATACTTGTCATTCTATGGTATTTTTGAAATAAATATATTATCCACTTGTCAATTTCTGACTTGTTTTAATTTTTAAATTTTAAAATAAGTCATATACTTATATATGTAAAGTATTAAATATAATATATATATGATATTAAATTGCAATGAATATTTTTCTTCATTTCTTATTTTAAAGTTTTATATTAAAAAATGTTTACTGTTTATACTTTAATGTTTAATTTTTTTTTAAATCATCTCATGTAATATACGAGTCTCACATCTAGTTCTTGAATAAAGATTTGACAAAACAAACCATTATAAACATGTTAACAAAAATGACAAATTTTTATATGAATAATCATTTTTTCTTAAACTTGATATTCCTAAGTATCATTTTGAATTCGGGATTCCGGTTAAACTATTATTTTTTTTTGTCAGTTTAATGTTTTAAGTCCGATTCTCGGCTTCTGGTAGTACATTTTTTTTTGAAAACTATTTAATAGTTGAGTTTATGAATACATCAACACCCATCTAACACTGTTATTAATTAAGGAGTTTTCTATAAGTACCCCATTCTTTTTCCAATTCCACCCCCCTTGATTTGATTTTTTGTCTTTTGTTTTTTTCCTATTTTGTTTTTTTGTTGTTTTTAATTCTTTTTTAATTATTATTATTATTATTATTATTATTATTATTATTATTATTATATTTTGATTATTATTATTATTATTATTATTATAAATTTCGCACAAAATTTTAACATTCGGAAGACATTATAAATTCAAACGGCTATATAAAATCGGTTTTTAAATATTTTTTTTATATTTTTTAATTACAGACAAAAAAGTCGTTCGAATTTTATAATGTCGTGCGAATTTATAACGTTTACCGAATTTTAAAATGTCATCCGAATTTAACAGTAATAATATTAAAATATAAAATAAAAGGAAAAAAAATAAAAAACAAAAAGGAAAAAAAAAAGAAAAAGAAAAAAATAAAATAATGTCAAATCAAAAGTAAAAAGTTGATTTAATTGATATTAGGAGAGGTAAAATTGGTTAGGGATACTTATAGCACAACTCTTAATTAATTGAACTAACAACTTTCACCAATCATTTTACATCCGCCTACCACTTTATTATTACACTATCATCCACCTAAATCTCAATGAATTCATTAGAAATCTCATATTCCACTATATTCGGCTATTCACCATTTATTTAAACATGTTTAAATTATAACATATTTTAGAGCGAAAAGCATTCATAACATATGTTACAACAAATTTTTTTTGAAGATGTCAACCGACTATCTCGAAATTCATTCTCAAATCTAGTCGTCATTCAACCCCATCAATAAGTTTAAGGCTTGTAACATGTTTGAGTCTATGAGGATGATGATATATGTCAAACAAGTAAACTATGAAAAACTAAAAATGAAATATTAAAGAAAAGGAAAAAATGGTTGTGGAAGAGAAAAATACATGTAGTTGGGCATATTTTCAAGACTTATTTTTTAAGTAAACAACTAATATTTATTTAAGCTAAATGCTTTTTATAATCATAAGTAAAAACAACCTAGGTTTTGCACATGAACTCAAAAATGAACAGAAAAAACAAGTAAAGGAAGAAAGAACATATACATAAAACCACAATATCTTCAACATCGACTCCCATTTTTTGCTATTATAGAGAGTCTGAAATGTTTTTCCAGAAATTTGGTGATCACCTTATTCTAGATTTTCTTTAAATAGGGGGCACTCACTTGTTCTTGTAACCATTGGTAATCGAGTCGAAATCGGTTACGGAATAACTTGTTTAAGACATGTTCGTTATTTTGTCAATTAACCATATTGAAGGTTATTTTCATTAAAAGTTATTTTAAATTGTGGTTAGTTTTGTTAATATCTCTAGATTAAAATTTAAACTTGGTTAAATTAAATCATAACATCACATAACCTAATATTTATCACAATGTTCATAGCATCACTTAAAGCCAATATTTTTCTATTAAAGATAATACAACTTCAAGTATCAACTAATCTTATTCATCATTTCATGCTTTGCGGTCTTTAGGGTGGACAAAGTGTATTCCCTATCTCTCCAAACCTACATGTCATATATATACGTTACATCAATTTTTATTCCTTCGCTCACTTGCATCCCTCCCAACCCCTCTTCCCGCAAGACTCCTTTTACTCTTATCCTTGCTATTTTCACAAGATATACACATTATTTAGCCATTAACTATATTTAGAATATAATAAATTACATGAATAGACCTTGTGGTTTGGGTTAATTACCTTCGTCCACATCTCTTTTTTTTTTCATTCCAACTGTTCCTAAATATTGTTTGTCTCTGTCGAACATGAAAAGTCTATAATTACCTTATGTATTTTTTAATTAATTAATTTTTTTATTATTATTTAAAAAATAATAATATAGCCCACCCTTTCCATTTTTCTTTCTCACCCACATATCTCTCACATCTATCTCTTTAACCTCCTTAATACTCTTATGTTTCTTTCACTCTACCGGCATCAGTGACACACACTTGGATAAACCCTTCACGATCGACAACCCTAACCTAATATGTTTTTTCCAAAGATTCTTGGATTTGCAGACAATATCGCTCATATTCCTTCGCGTTGACATAACCAATCTTGGCCTCCACATCACATATTTGTCTTCACTCATATCATTTAAATAAATGGGTTCCCAGCCGCCCATTGTGAATCCCCACTTTTGCAAGGATAAGTGATAGGGCTCACCATTTGGACAATATGCTAAGACACTGAAGTACAACGCATACCACTATCACTTCCGACATAATCCTTAACCCACTTTAGGATATCCCTTTTTCTGCCGTTTTTCACTTGTTCGATCGGGAAGATGATTAAGCCGCAACATCTCAGCTTCCATTCTCTAAATTATACAAAATAAGAAAACCAATTAATTAAAACAACAAATAAAAATATGGTAACAAGTACATTTCTACCATAAATAGGCAATAAACAACCTATAAAATCACATTTTTATATTGAAACCAAATAACTCACATCATCAACCGGAAGTGAATGAAGAGACATTGCCTTTTCTTATATCTCACCCTACCACAACCACAAAACTTTTCATCGTCATATACAACACAGGGTACAAATTTTTAAATAAAAATTGGCATAAAAACTTACTACAGTAAAACATCTCACAAGCCCGCATCTTATACTCTCTCTCAACCGTCTGCATTCATCCTAAAAAAACCTCATTAATTATTATCAAAGAAAAAAACAATAACTAATTATTAATTATTATGAAGTGCTAATTACTCACCTCGGATAATTCTTGATTTGAAATTGTATTAATTGACAGAGTCTCCTTCTTGTCTAAATTTGATACTTCAAGCATAACATCAACTAATTTATCACCAACTTTATAGGGTACATTCACCTTAGTTGTACCTAATAAATACAAAATTGTAAATTTTAGGTGATAAAAGATGACGATAATAATAATAATTCCCAAAAATGGTGATAAAAACATTGCATGACCTACTACTTGAAGAGATGAGAGAGTAATTTCAGCTGACTCTTGGTTATGAATGACTGGTCGAAAATCAGAGGGTATAAGACCCTATATAAAGCTGCCAGAGAAACCCTAGATAACTCTTACTTGATTAAAATAATAACATCTTAAATCAGGTACTTAATTGGTTTCTTAATTATCTCAAAGGGATATTCTAGAACCCCATAAACACCCTAAAACTGTCCACCCGCATGTGGTGTAACACCCTGTTTTAGTCGTTTCATAATTCGGGGTCGTGACTCGAAGATCAAGTATCATAAGGTTTCGGGCTTTGGGAAAGAGAGGTTTAGACTCATTTGGGTATGGGTAATGTAGATTACGAGATTTAAGAGTTTGGTTTGTGTTGGGGTCAAAGGGTAAAACGGGAAAGTAATGTTTCAGACTTCTTGCATGAAATATGGATTTTTGTTCGGGAAGTTTTTAGTCAAAGATATATAGATAATATTATGGGGCTATTCAATACCTTTCCGTGGATATAAAGATCGTCGAAAACAGAGTTGGAACGAAGAAGTTATGACCGTTTGAAGTTAGGAAGGTTTTGAGCTTAGTCTAGTACGCAGGGCATACAGGATGTACGTTGGGCGTACTAGGTATACCTGGAATATGTTGGGCATACCTGGAGTACGTTGGGCGTACGCGATCAGTGCCCAAACCCTATTTTCGTGGTTTGAGCCCTATTTAAGCTCTTTAACTTCCCCAAACCCACTCCATTCTCAGCCTCCACCTCTCCAACACCCTCCCTTGAAACCCCAACCCTATTTTGAGCCTTCTGAGCAAAAGAAGGTGTTCTTGAGTGCTTTGGAGTGTTCTTGGTGCATCTTGGAGAAGAAGGAGCTCTTTAGAGAAGTGTTGGTTGCATTAGAGCTTGTAGATCCAGACTTTGTTCACCTTGATCTTTCTTCTAGAGGTATAAAGCTTGAATATTGATGATGCATTTGTTAGATCTAGCTAGTTTTGGGTGTTATGAGCTTTAGATCATTTTAGTGCATAAAGTTTATATCTTGAAAGTTTTTGACCTTGTTATGGATGAAGTTGGAAACTTTATCCATCTAAACATCATATTGATTCAGATCTAAAGGTTGGAGACTTGGATTTAATGGATTAAGTTAAAAAAGATACACTTTTTGTCCCTTTGAGACTTAAAGACTAGATCTTGGTTGTTTGGACCATTCTAATGGATAAAGTTGGAAACTTTATCTATTATGAAGTTATTAGATACCATAAAAATGTAATCTTGGACCTTAGTTTCCTTCGATGCATGAGCTAGGATGTCTTAAAGAATTAAGAAGTTAGGATATTTGGTATTAAGCACTTAATAGTCATGCAAGATCATAAAGTTGGAAACTTTATGATTGAGAACATCATTTGAGGGCTAGATCTGGATTTTTGGAATATATTCAGTTACCATTATAAACCAATGTATAACTAATGAAAGTGTTACTAACCTTTGCAATTCTTTCAAATCCTCTAGCTCCCTTCTGATACTTGGGCATATGTCCAAAACCCAACTCAAACCTTTTTGCTTCTGCATCCATAACCTCTGTATTGCCTAACATCTGATGTCCTCCAAAATTGTTATCACTAGTTTCCTTCTAGCATCAACTACAACAGAATTGAAACTTTTAGAAACTACATTCTCTACTACATCACAATCCATACCATCTCTAAAAAAAGCCTTGTACCAACACCTTGGATCCCTATCTATGAGATAGTTATAAGCCCTGCTTTCCAAGGACTTAATCTTATTCATTGTTGCTTCAAAATTTGGTATAGTTGTTGCATTCACAACCCTCCAAAATGGTTTAAAGTATTGTTCTCCTTTAAATTTTTTGTGGGAATTAGCTAGTATGTGTATATCACATAATCTATGCTCCACATCAGGTAGTCTGTCCTTCACAACTTCAAATAATCCCTGATTCAAACAATTAAATGATTAGTGGATGTATGATCAAAACAATTGAAGTTAATAGAAAAAACTAGAATGATTACCTTGTGGTCATCTAAGAGGATTGTAATGCCATGAACATTCCCATTTCCAATGTCTTCCATCAGGCTGTTCAAAAACCATTTCCATGTCCTTTTGTTCTCAACATTGACTACCACCCAAGCTAAGGGATATATGTTATTATTAGCATCTCTACCCACTGCTGATAGGAGCTCCCTTCTACATACGCCCATAAGAAAGCAACCATCAACCCCAATTACATTTCTGCATCCATCTAACCACCCATCCACAACACCTTTAAATCTAACATAAAACCTATCAAACACCACAATATTATCAGGTTGTGGCTCCAGATTCACATCAACATGTGAAACTGGATAACCCTTCTGATTTCAGCTGCATAATCCCACAATTTGGTATAACGTTCTTTCAAACTTCCCTCAACTTCAGACAATGCTAACTTTTTTGCATTCCTACACTACCCAACACTCACATTAATGTTGTATCTCCTAGATACTAGGACTTTCATTTTCCTTAAACTTAGTTTAGGAATCTCCAAAACATCATTCACAAACTGTTTCCCTATCCACTTATATGTTACAATTGACCCAAGTTTGAATGCCCTGGAGCACTTGTGCTATGTTGTAAGAGACTTAATCTGAAAAGTGTGTTCCTCTTTCACCCAGGATGCATACAATCTAAAAGGGCATGTTGTATCCTTTCCTTTACAACACCTAACTAGCAACCTACTCGTGTCATTCTTTTCAGACCACAAATCATAACCATTTGCTACAACATAATAACTAAGAGAGTATTTAAGTTCAACAAAAGTAGAGTATTTCATACCTAATCGAGGCTTCATCTCATTCCATTCCTGAGTATGATCATGTCTTGGGTAGATAGGTCGTGTTGCATTATGATCTTCTTCAACCAAGTCATCATTATGTACTGGACAAAGTTTGTTGAGGAAATGATCATTGAAGTTTCTTTTAAGAGATATAACTTCATCGTCCTTTACATGTTCAACTTTCGGACCATATTCTAAAATGGAGTCAACATCATAAATAGAAACCAAATCATCATCTTCAAGGTCAGCTTCTTCCTCCTTAATCCAATCAAACAAAGGTTCATGATAATGATCCACATACACGTCCAATCTCTTCTTTTCATTGATATCTTCAAGAAACTCGTTAAAATCGTAGTCATTCTGAGTAAGATGCAATCCCTCAGACAACCTCACTTCATGTGGACAGTAATACACATATCTGCATCTTTTTTTAGTATGCTTTTCAAGAAAGGGTATGAAATCGGGAAAGGTCATCTTGTTCACAACCGTGTATGGTACAGAGGCTTTGTTTCCATCAAAATACATCAATGGGGAAGGTGTGAGCGTCCCTTTATAGTGTACATCAACGATTGGATCTGGATTTTCTGCCATTGTTGATGGTGATTGTGATTCAAGAAGTTTGAGGAATGACCGACTGAGTAAATGGAGGAATGTTGATTAAATGAGCCCTAATTGCCCGTCTAAATAGGGTGTAATGTTACCCTATCCATGTAAGGTGCCATGTGGACACCACCTGGTTATTTCATTTCAAGAAAATAAAAGGAAAATCATATATGACCGGTATACCGGGTATAGCCGGTCAAAATGATTGCATGATTACAAAAAATCCGGTATAAGGGTTTATTTTATAAAAAAAAATTAAGGACTAAATATATACATATCATAAAGTAACTTACCCTATCAAGTCATATTCCCTTTAACAAACAACGTCGGGACATGAATTTAACTGAAAAATGAAAACCATAAATGTAGGGTTTTAACCTAACGACTAAATATACAGATTATAAAATACTCTAGGGACTATTTATGTAATTCATTGGCTTTTTTCCCATTGTTATTGTGAATTTGGGAGGTAGAAGAACGGCATACTTTATTCCATAGCCGTTCTCAACAGAGTCGAGCCTCGAGTATTCAAGAAACACGTTACAGAAGCCCATTAGCAATGGAAGTCGTTTGCCCCATAGATGCTCAATTCGCTGAGCAAATTGCCGTTCTACTCGAACCACCTTCATCCCTTCAAGTCCAGGCAATCTCTCCCTCTCTCTCTCTCTCTGACTTATTTATCTCTCTCGATAGTTACCATATGAGAATGTAATTTGTGAACTTAATAAGCTGCAGGAGTATTTCGATGAACTTATAACGAGTAAACAATGTAATGGGATTCAAGTCAAACCAACCAATGACTATGGAAAAGGTACCCTTCCTCTTGCTTTTTGGCGGAAACAAGAAATGACAGCTTTTTAATCTTTAAGAATTTATTAAAACCATCTAGGAAGAACGTAGATTAGTATTTTGTTATGTATGTATGCTAAGGATGTTTGTCTTAAAAAATATGATGATAACAAGCAAGGGAGAGCTATTCCATTCTTTTGCACACCACCTGTTTGATATATTGCATGGGAGAGATGAATTGTCATCTTTGTAATTATGTATCGAACTCAACAAATCCTAAACTATTGGTTGTTAATTACTTGCAATATAACATTCTGAAAATTGGAAAAACTTACAGGCGTTTATGCTGACATGGAGTTTGAAGAAGAGGACCTTATTTTGAAAGATCAAATGCTTTTCGGTGTGCAGCATTCCTCAAATAAGGTTCCCACTCATTTCTTTCCTTGTTTTTGAACGAATTATGGTTTTTTTGAACACTTTACATTACCAATCCTTTTTCTTGCAGATTGATTGTCTTGTATGTAGTTTCTGCTTCCGATTTATTGGGTCAATAGAACTCCAAATTGGAAGGAAGCTCTATCTTCAGGGTTTAGGGAGCCCAAAAGATTGTTTTGATTTAGCATCCGAAGATCAGCTAGAGTTTCAACATTGTTCTTCTACCACATCCAGAAATAGATTTCAGCTTCCTAGTGAAAGTGTAGAGTCACTAATGCATGAGAAATTAGCATTGCCATATTCAAAGAAATTTCCATTGCCTTCTGTTATCGATTGCCCTGGGGGATGTAAAGAAGCTTACTACTGTAGGTGAGTGTCCATCAATATTTGAATGTTAGAAACATAGTTATTGAAGTCAAACCAGAATTCAAATGATTGATGCTTCAATTCAAATTAGATCATTGATTGATTGTGTTAACTAACACTTAGATGACGTGACATATTTCAATTATTTGTAGCAAATCTTGTGCACATGCTGATTGGGACTTATGCCATTCTATACTTTGTACTGGAGAAGGGTCAAAAATCGTTGTCCAAAAAGGCACTTTCAAGATTTATAGAACATGCTAATGGTAAGGTTGAAATGTTATAGCCATCTACACATATTTTCCCTTTTTACCCCTCAATTTCTAAGCTTTTTGCTTTTTCTGTCAGAGACAAATGACATTTTTCTTCTTGCTGCCAAGGTAAATTCTTTTAAAGCTCATCTTTTCTCTTTTCTTCCCTTTTATTTTTGGCTAAATGCAAGAAATAACAACATTTCATCTTAAACCCTTTGTCCATCTAAAATGATATAGATTTTGAATGATCAAGGCTTTAGGACATATACTGACAAAATATGATTAACAAAATAGATTTTTTTTTGCTTCCATTTTCAGGCGATTTCTTCTACAATCTTAAAGTACAGGAAGTTAAAAGCAGCACACAATAAAGAGAAAGAGAAGAATCACATTGCTGAAGTATTAGGCAACCACAATTTTTCTCTTCTTTTGAAGGCTTGGAAGCCTTTATCAATGGGATACAAGAGGAGGTATATATATATATATCAAAATTTTCATCTCTCTTTTTTTGATGATAAAAATAACTATCACTACATTACACATGTGAATATGAAACAACTCTCTTAGGCCATTTTCATCAATGCAATAACAAAATCCTTTTATTTCTACCATGTTACATTCTATATCAATTATCAATGCAATAAAATACACCTTTTAAAGTGGTCCTCATTGCCATATTAACAATTTTATAATTTTGGGGCGGAATACAAGAAATAGCAACATACTTCCATTTATTTGTTTATTATAGCATCTTAATTTCTGTTCATTTTTTTTCTTCTTAAGGGATTGTATTTTAAAAAAAATATTTCCAAATGTAGGTGGTGGGACTGTATTGCATTGCCTGATGATGTTGATGCTTGTGATGAAGCTGCTTTTAGAATGCAAATAAGGCAGCTGGCATTTGAGGTCAGTAATAAGATGTTATGATAAGCCCAACTAATCCTAGAGTGCTTTTAGTTGATTTGCTTTAGTCGAGTTATTTTGTTATCTTTTTGGCTGTAGGGGTAGTTTGGTCCTTTTGGTTTTATGGTTGTTATTGGCTGTTTTGTTAGTGGGAACAACACCTGATTACGCTGGTTGTTATTCCCTTTTGTCTTGTCTCTAGTGGTAGTATAAATAGGCCTTATGTTTTAGGAAGTAGGCAGCTAAGAATTAATTTGTAAGAGAACATTGTTCTTCTTTTGGAGAGACTCTCACCTCTAGAATTGTGAGAAACTATCTTTATGAATATTATCCAGTATTTCTGTTAATGTGAGCTTTACAATGCCTGAGATATACGATAGATTCAACAAGAGCCTATCATGTTATTATTATATTATAAAAATAAGTAGAATCAGAAGTTTGTAAACTTTGTATTGCTGTTGCTTCTATGGTCAAAACTCTAATCATTACTTTGACTTTTTTTAGTCACTGGAGCTTTTAAAGGATGCAATTATCGATGAGGAATGTTTGCCATGTATCCTGGACACATGCTTAAATTTTTTATATTTTTGATGAGGGAAAAATGACTGAAAGGCCCTTGTGTTTGTTTACATATTTACATAATACATTATATATATTATATATATGTATTGTACTCCTTAATCTTATTCAGTGTTTTCCCTAGAAATCTATGGGCATATTATTGGCATGTTTGAGCTGAATAACCTGTAAGTTTTTCATTCACCTTTCTTTCTATTACCATTTACTTCTGTATTTAACTTATACTGTATCACCCGTATTTGGAAGATAGCAATTTTCAAAAACTTCTAATATCATCAAAAGGTAAATCAGTATAAGTGTGTGTGATTGGATGGAATGGAATGACAAGGGTAATTGAATAAGCAAGATAATGGAATGAGTCATTCCATGAACATGTTTGTTTGTTCTTTAGGAATGGAATGAATTTTTTATATTATATGTAAATACAATGCTAACTCTATTCTATACATTATTTATAGAATAAGTTAGAATTTAATTAAAATTGCTAGAATAAAAATGGTTTATGTTATAATTTTTCATCCCATTCCATGATGGAATGTGAAATCAATGAAATGTAAGGAATCAAATTTCTTCAAGAATGGTCAATTTCATTAATTTAAGTCAAACCAAACAGTGTGTTTTTTTTTTTCTTTCATTCCAATGGAATTAAGCATTCCATTATTTCTCAATTCCATCATACAAAACAAGCTTCATGAATGTGACATTGGCTTTTTTGTATATGAATATGATAGTGATTTGGTTGTAGCATCTCCAGTGGAGGATTACTTTTTATACATAGATGATCTCCCAGAACCCGAAAAGGTTAGAATCAGATGAAAAAAAAAATTGTTTTACTCTAGATCTCTAATACTTATTTTTTATTTATTTATTTAATAAACATATCTTCCTGTTTGTATCTTTTTTGCAGAAAGAAGTTGATGAAATTACACAGCCTTTTCTTGATGCTCTTGGGGAGGACTATTCTGTTTGTTGCCAAGGTAATATTAGTATGTGTACAATTCTATCTCATATGCGTTAATTGCAAGAAATAACAACATACTTTTATTTATTTTCTATATTTTCCATAAGTGTTACCAAATACATACAATATATTAATATAATCATGCTATGTGAAAAGTTTTTTTTTTCCTATTACTGAAAAAAGTTGATTTGCAAAATTTAAATTTGGCAGGCACAGCATTTTTCGCACTGCAAAGCTGTATGAACCATTCGTGTTGTCCCACTGCTAAAGCTTTTAAACGTGATGAGGTACATTTTCTGTAATGTAATTAATATATTATATATGATTACAAATAAGTATTTATTAAGTAATTGACGTTTCAAAGTAAGATGTTATAATAAGAAAAAGAATTGGAAGTAGAATGCTGTAAATGTGTAGAGTTTTCAAAGTAATAAGAAAAAAGATTAATATAAAATGTTTTTTTTTTTGAAAGAAATGAAACTTGGATGCTAATATTTTCTCCTTCACTACAAAATTGCAGGACAGAGATGGCCAAGCAACCATACTAGCATCTAGACCTATTAAAAAAGGAGAAGAGGTTATTTATTATTATTATTATTATTATTCCCAAACTAAATGCAAAAAATCTCATTATACTATCATACATTTGTCTATTTAGTTGTAATACAACTGTGGATTTAACCTTTTTTTGAAAATTTCAGATTACCATATCATACATAGATGAAGAACTTCCTTTTGAAGAGAGACAGGCATTGCTTGCAGACTACGGGTTTAGATGCAAATGCCTCAAATGTATTCAAGAACAACCATAATAATTCTTCCCTTTTGTATTAATATATATATTTTTAATATTATTTAGGATTTACCCATTTTGGACACTTATAATTAATTATTTTGTGTCAATAATCAACTTTTATGAATTTGTGCAACTATTTTTTTACTAATTTATGCAACTCTCATCACTTACGAATCCATACCATATTCTCATTGATTTAAATATTTCGTATTTTGGTCCTGAAATGAAACATCGTTGGATATTTCCTATAAAAACTGCTTTATTGCATAAATTGATAAAAGGTTAAAATGTTGCATTAATAAAATCATATAGTCCGTAATAAAATTTGTTTATTAGGAGTACTAGTTTATAACCTTTGGAACCACAGTTATAAAATAAATTAAATTTTCATAGTAAAAATTCAAAAATTATTTATCAGTTATTTTAAATAAATCATTAATTAAGAGATATATAAAATTTTTAAAGTTATTATAACTTCAAATTTAACATATAATTAAAAAAAGTAAATTTGAATTTTAAAGTGTTGCCTAATATATCTCTTTGACATGTGATATAATATTAACGATGAGTTGTATTAGAGTGACACATATCAAATGGAGATTAAAACTATTTTTTTTTATTAGAATAGGGAAATAGATTTGAACTGTGGTGTATATAAATGAAAGCTTGTTGCTAGTTTGTATATAGAACTGTACATAATATTTAACGGCTCATTTTTCAAACAAAATTTTTTGATTTTTAAATGATAACATTTCATTAAAAACATTTTTTCAAGATAAGGAAAACTATTGTTTGAAAATCAAGATACACATATCCAAATGAGAGTATATAAAATAAAACATGCGTAGGTCTCAAATCGTAATGTCAATGCGTGCGTACAGTCAAACCTTGTCATTCCCACGATCTGATGAAATACCTAAAAAACATTTAATCCACAACTATAAGTCCAAGTTTAGTGAGTTCTCCAAAATATCATATACCACAAATATACATACAATACATACAAGTAAGGGCTCTCAGCTCCCGTGCCGATCCATCCGGGTATCTTTGGTTCTCAGCTCCACAGTGCTGATCCACCATTACCCCTGAGTATCTTGGCTCTCAGCTCTGATGCTGATCTGTCTCAACTCCTACTGTGTATCTTAGTATTTAGGCTCTCAACTCCCGTGCTGATCTGCCTTCAACTCCAAACAAAATATATCACATAACAAACAAACAACAATAAAACAGACAACATGAAAAAGACTTCACTAGCCTACTTGTAATGCCCAGTTCCCGGTACGTAGTTTAATTTAAAGTTTTTGCATTTTTACTCTGGGACTCGACGAGTTGGAGGCCCAACTCGTCGAGTAGATGTGAGTTTTGGGACGCGGGTGGAAGTCTCTACTCGCCGAGTCGGAAGCCCCAACTCGACGAGTAGACATGTCTGGATGAAACCCTAAATTCCAGGGTTTGCACCCTATTTAAACACTTTAACTGGCCTCCACTCCAACCTTCATCACCCTCAGACCCCATTCTCGAAACCCTAATCAGTTGTGAGTGTTCTTGAGCTACTTTGGTGCCATATTTTGTGATTTGAAGCTTGGAGAAGGAAGGAAAGGCTTGGAGGTTCAAGAAGAAGGCAGTAGATCCAGAGTCTTGGTTGCATTTCCAGCTTGTTTGAGGTAAAAAGCTTCAACCTTGACTTCTCATTTGTTAGATCTCCTTTAGGGCTCGATTCTTGTCATTTTGGGGCATTTCTAAGTCACTTTCGGGTGTAGAGTGTATAGTAGAGTAATGACTTCAGAACTTGAACCTTGGAGGGTTCTCATGGCATAAAGGTGCCAACTTTATGGCCATGAGAGCCCCATGCATCTTGTAGACTTCATTTTTGGACCTTTTGAGCTTGAAGACCCATGCATGGACGTAAAGTTCGTGACTTTACGTGCTATATCGACCCTAGGAGGTCAGATCTACACTTTGGATGCAATGAGCTCAACTGAGATCGACTTGGTAGGTTTGGACCTTGGGGGACTCGACGAGTCGCTCTTAGGACTCAACGATTCGGGTTATGGTTCCCCAACCTTTTTTGTTCCTGATCGATCTGGTTGAGTATAGAAGAGGACTCAACAAGATGGACTTGGATATGGAATTGAAGATCGAGGAACTCGACGAGTTCAAGGATGAACTCGGCGAGTTCAAGGCAATGTCCCAATGAATATGAAGAAGAACTCGGCGAGTCAAGGACTAACATTCCAACTTGGAGTATGAATCTAATACTTGTTTTGGAACAAAGTATGAATCATCTCCTAGATTTAACCATTTCAACAATTCACGATTCCTCTTCTTAGCCATACAAATGCACTAAGATATCCTTAGAGGATCAATTGTGACATGGTTTTCATAATCATTAAGATGATCATAAAACACGATACTCAAGTACTCTCCCATCTTTTCAGATTAGAGAAACTTCTATCTTTCTGCCTAATTTGATTCTTCTTATTCGTCCTACCATACATTGAAACTTTTCCAATGATTCAGAATTATACTTAAACTTGTAAGCATAACCATATTTACTAAACTTTAGTAAATCATGACGAATAGTCTTATCGTTCTTTGTGGTGGACCTGACCAACGCACAGCCAGTGTACCCGATCCCCTAGTCCTTCACCTGACTCACATACTCATGTGAACAAGGAATTAGTCTTTAATTTCCCAAAGACGAAAATTCTCATTCATCAAACAATACAAGTTGCATGATTCCAAGTTTCTATCCAACTGAAACTTGCGTGATGAGAATCTTTCATTATTTGGTAAATTATGACACAACCACAAACGAAAGAATCAAATCCATTTTCCAATATTGCTATTAATGGAAACATATAAGCAACAAAATTTCACAAATGCCATTGTAAGGAAATTTTAAAAATAAGATAAATTTCAAAAATTTTCTTTATTTATAAAAATTGCAGAAAACTTATCCTTACAATGCAAATACAAGTGAAAATATGTTGTTTATCTATTCCTAAACAATCTATCATAACTCTTTACGCAACAACTCACAAATCTGATCATCGAACCATGCGATCGAAATCCATCTCTTTGCGATCAGACTCAACATACTCTTCCTTTAAGTTTCCTTTCATTTCTTCGATTCTTCAAAACATCAAAATGTAATTACATTACATCATGTATTAAGAATCTCAAAATAGGAACTTAATAGAGTTAGACAGTGGATTTTACCTGAAGTAGAGTAAAAAATTTTGACTTTACTATCCTTGCGATCTTTCAGGTAGATACGGAAACTTCGCAACCAATGCCCCTTCTCTTGGCAACAAAAACATATGGACTCCTTGGGAATGGTACACGGGACTATCTCAGACTTAGCCTTTCTCTTTACCATTTGGTCAAATGACTTGACCATGGCCGATCCCTTTCCATTGGGAAGAGAAAGCTTTTCTGGACTTTCAATGTTACCATTGTCACTGTCCATGGAAGTTTGGAGAGTAGATCTTCCAATCCAATTGCTTTACCAGTGCGCCAAATCATTGCTGATTCAGCAGCAACAAGCAAATATCTTAAGATCAATAAGGGTCATGTCGTGATCTCCCATATAGTAGTCCTTAAAGAACCCGCTATATGACTTAGGAAGTGATTGAAGAACCCAGTCAACAACCAACTTCCTTGAGACTTCGACACCCAACTCTCCCAGCTTGTCAATATGTAACTTCATCTCCAAGACGTGAGCACATACAGACTTTCCTTCCTGCCAATAAGGCTTTGAGTGACCTTGAACTTGTGGGTTAGGGAGAATAATTGGAGGAGGTGGAGGAAGTGAAGTTCCACTACAGCATGAAGAAGGGATGAATCTTTCACCTTGATCGCCTTGTGGAAAATCATCTTTATAAGGAAGGCCTTCTCCATAAGATTCGGGAAGACCATGAGGGAGAAATTCAAGTTTAGTTGATTTTAGTCCTTAATATAACACCCAAATGAAATATTAAGGCTAGGACCCAACACAATATTTTACAATTCGGAAAAGGGATGCCGTAATCCTATTGCAAAATATTTGAAGGTAGGTAAATCACGATTTACCAATTTTCACCACGAAAAACGAAAAAGAATTTTAGGTTTTAAGTGAACTGAAACTCCTAGATCCTTTGAGATTCATTGAACTTTTCAATGGCATGTTTAAATCTCGATTGTGCCCTTCAAAGTTTGTGACTGGGATGCTGAGGATTACAAACAAGGTGTGAATAACCATGCAAATTAGCTTGGTACACTCAATGTTACAATCACCTAATCAATGTGTCGGTTAACCACACACGCTCCATTGATCTATGATTAACATTAAGCTACCCTTTGCCACGCACTGTCAGTCCCAGATTAGTGTGCCGGTTAACCACACATGCTCCACTAACGACTTAACAAGGTGAAAAATGCAATTTCATGGGATAGCACCATATTCACATTTTTCCTAAGGTAAATAAGATTGAGAATTTTAATAAAGTTTAGTTACTTTATAATTATCATTATACTTATAATGAGAATTAATGTCCTATCCTACCCGTTCGGCTAACGACCCTCCACCAGTCAAGGAAGCGGTTGGTGAGAGTGGACACCCATTAAACTGCCATTCTATAGGCAGTAACCTTATACCCCCTTATAAACCGACTTCGTGAATGAGGCCTACTAACGGTAAGACTGACTTTACTCTTATACATATATATAAATATTACACCTATAATATTATAATAGTATAAGGGTTGAATTTTAAACTTTTAAAACTCTAGGGTTTAGAACTAAATGTTTCAAAGTAAGACTTTGCATTTACAAATTCCAAAACTTGAGGGATAGTTTTGAACTATTCAAAAACTTTTGGAATCCATAACTTGTGAGTTTAATATAGGTTTTAATGAAAAAACTTTTGAAAATCCATAAATTGAGGACATGTTATGGAGTTCATAAAACCATTTATGGGAAAAAGACTCTTCCATTTCATAACCTATGATTTTAATGATCTCTTTAAAAGAAAAACCTTTCATTTTCATAGCTTGATGACAAGTTATGGAATTCATCAAAACCATTTAGATCAAAAATTCTAACAAGAAAATCAAAAAATTTGTCTATGATCTAAATTAAACTCATAAG